ATGTATGTATGTATGTATGTATGTATGTATGTATGTATGTATGTATGTATGTATGTATGTATGTATGTATGTATGTATGTATGTATGTCTGTATGTATGTATGTATGTATGTATGTATGTATGTATGTATGTATGTATGTATGTCTGTATGTATGTATGTATGTATGTATGTATGTATGTATGTATGTATGTATGTATGTATGTATGTATGTATGTATGTATGTATGTATGTATGTATGTATGTATGTATGTATGTATGTATGTATGTATGTATGTATGTATGTATGTATGTATGTATGTATGTATGTATGTGTGTATGTATGTGTATGTATGTATGTATGTATGTATGTATGTATGTATGTATGTATGTATGTCTGTATGTATGTATGTATGTATGTATGTATGTATGTATGTATGTATGTATGTATGTATGTATGTATGTATGTATGTATGTATGTATGTATGTATGTATGTATGTATGTATGTATTTATGTATGTCTGTATGTATGTATGTATGTATGTGTATGTATGTATGTATGTATGTATGTATGTATGTATGTATGTATGTATGTATGTATGTATGTATGTATGTATGTATGTATGCATGCATGCATGCATGCATGCATGCATGCATGCATGCATGCATGCATGCATGCATGCATGCATGCATGCATGCATGCATGCATGCATGCATGCATGCATGTATGTATGTATGTATGTATGTATGTATGTATGTATGTATGTATGTATGTATGTATGTATGTATGTATGTATGTATGTATGTATGTATGTATGTATGTATGTATGTATGTATGTATGTATGTATGTATGTATGTATGTATGTATGTATGTATGTATGTATGTATGTATGTATGTATGTATGTATGTTTGTATGTTTGTATGTTTGTGTGTTTTTGTGTATATGTGTATTTGTGTATGTGTGTATGTTTGTATGTTTGTGTGTTTTTGTGTATATGTGTATTTGTGTATGTGTGTATGCATGTATGTGTGTGTGAGTGCCTGCCTGCCTGCCTGCATGCGTGCGTGCGTGCGTGCGTGTGTGTGTGTGTGTCAATGTATCTATGTATGTATCTATGTGTGTATGTATGCATTGTTATGTGTATTCGTGTATGTATTATGCTTGAGTGCACTGAGACAGTGTTGTACGAACAAACAAACGAGTACCAATGCCTGTTATTTAAAATGCATGTCACGTAAATAATCAACAAATATACATTATAGAATAATGCATACACACATCATGTGTACATATTCTTACCACACACACACACACACACATATATATATATATATTTATATATATATATATATATATATATATATATATATATATATATATATATATATATATATATACTCTTACATTCTCATATATGCACACTGATATACAGACATACATAATAAATACATACATAAACGCATCTACATATATACACAAACAGAAAAGACACACATATATACTTATGAACAAATATACACACACACATTCCATACATACACACCTACACATGCATGCATGCATACACACACATACAATCACATGTACAGACACCCACAACCACACATTTACACTCACATGCAAACATAATACATACATACATGCACACACATACATGCATACATACACACATCAATACATACACCTATATTTTTGCACACATACATACATACTTGCATACATACCTAAATACACACACACACCCACATAGTTATACAGCTTCAAATGCATACATACATCCACAATCATGCATACTTACAAATTTACATGCATACATACACCCACATACATGCCCACACACATTACATACATACGCACACATGCATGCATACACACATAAACATACATATGTTAAGAAAGCTAGCTCATTATTTCAATTAATTTTCTTTCAAAATGAGTCTAATACAAATGTGTGGAATGCCGTGGAGCTAGGTACAGAAAACTAATTGATTATGTTTATACTAGAAATCTTTTATATTACTAAAGAATAAATATGTTTGGACATAAATTTGGATACAAATCATGTCGTTGAAAAAAAAAAGGACCATAACTACAGTGATGAGAACTTTTAGGGCTTTCCAATAAGCAACTTAATGCAGATGGGATGTATCCTTCTTCCGTTCGTTATTGGCCTATAGTGCAAAGACTGGTACCAAAATTACGCCAAGACACCCTGGTGTTGACTATTATACGGAACTCATACTCTTCACCCCCCCCCCCCCCCCCAGGCCCTAAATCCTTATTTTGTTTGCTTTACTCTCTAGTTTCCTTCTCAGGGTGTGTGTGTGTGGGTGAGTGTGATGTGTGTGTGTGTGTGTGGGTGAGTGTGATGTGTGTGTGTGTGTGTGTGTTTTTTGGTCAGCCCTTTGCTATCCTCATGTAAAGCTATTCTAGCACTATTCTATTTTTTTTTTCTAGCTTCTTGATTCTCTGGATTGTGTTTAGCTCTCTCTCTCTCTCTCTCTCTCTCTCTCTCTCTCTCTCTCTCTCTCTCTCTCTCTCTCTCTCTCTCTCTCTCTCTCTTTCTCTCTCTCTGCTTTACATTAGTGACGTTATCATACCAGTTAATTCCCCTCTGTCTCGTACACGAGCACTTTAATGAATGTTTGCTGTTTGTTGATAATTGTTTTAGCTGTTCTCTGTCTTGCAGCTCTATTCAGCAGTTCTGGTTTAATATTACTGTTAAATAGTTTCAGTTAAATATTAGTTTTACTTTTCCTTGATTTCCTTAAACTTTCTAGAGCTACAACAACTCTCTTTGATTTTTCTATTTGTATTTTAAAGTCTTTATACCAGTGGTATCGAAGAAAATAATTACTCCTCAATTTCTAATAAAACTCAATGGTGTTTTTTTCGGGGGGTGGGGGGGGGGGGGGGGGGGCAAGTACGGACAGGTGAGTATCTGGGCACATGGGCAACAACAGATGGAAGATGCATTACTCAGATAAGAAACAGAATAGGACAGGCAAAAACTGCCTTTTTTTAAATGAAGAACATCTTATGCAAGATATCTTTGTGATTGAGGGTGAGAAAAAGAATTCTAGCTTGCTACATAAATCCAGTCTAAACATATGGCTCTGAGTCCTGGACAATAGGTAGGCAAGCAAAATAATTTCTTGAGGCCGCAGAAATGTGATTCTACAGAAGCATGCTTAAAATGCCTTGGACAGCCAAAAAGAGCAACCAGGAAGTTTAAAAAGAGGAGCCCGAAGACAACTTATCACAGACATCAGAAGGAGACAGTCATCATTTGTCGGCCATGTTATAGGAAGAGGAAAAACGGAACATGCTGTGACCACTGGAAAGATATGTGGAAAAAGGGATAGAGGAAGACAACGAGAGAAGATTCTTGATAGTCTTGTTGCATGGTATAGAGGTGTCAGCACACGAACTGTTACCTGCTGTAGAAGATCGCAGACTGTGAAGAGGCATAATCACCCATGCCTTTTGGCAAGGCACCTAAAGATGATGTTGATACCAGTGGGGAGTGGGGAGGTGGAAGATTGGGGGCAAGAAAGATTTTAGGAGAGCGTCAACAATTGTGAAACTAAGTACACCTGTACTTGTAATAATCCGGGTTTTTAATTTTAACAGTCATGAAAACAAAACAGCGTTGTCAGCTTGATATGGAGAATGATCTCCGTTGTACCATGCCCAACATTGGAACAAAATTATTAGATTATTATCATGACAAAATAGTGCCAGCCATCACATTGATATTTGGACACGAAACTACCAGTTGTTGATGACTGTTTCTATTGTATTTTGGCACTTTGATTTTTGAGGATATGTTTCTATAAGTTCTTTTTGACACTGTGTGCTTTGAAGTTTTCTTTTTGTTATCCTCTTTTTATTCACATTTGTATACGTCGCCTCATACTCAAGGGTAACGCTATCTGGAAAAAAAAAAAGCTGGAGACCATTGCTATAAACTCAGGGGTGACACCATCTGAAAAAGGTTGGAGACCATTACCATATACTCAAGGGTGACACCCTCTGGAAAAGGTTTTAGACCATTGCCATAACTCAAGAGTGACACCATCTGGAAAAGGTTGGAGACCATTGCTATATACTGAGGGGTGACGCCCGTTGGAAAAGGTTGGAAACCATTGCTCTGTACGTTTCCACGTCTCTGTCTACATTTTTACCTCTTGAATGTTTGGAATAAAAAAAATACGACAACCGAAAAGGTTAAAGCATGGAACAGTATCGCCGTGAAACACCATAGGAAACAAACAAAACATAATAGGTTTGTTTTAAAACTGACATTAAACAGAAAACAAGAAAAGCCTATGAATGAATGATGAAATCGTGATCAAAATAATAGAAATAAAGCAAAATAGCCTCTAATAGACAAATAAACAGTTGGCACATACGTTTGCTAAGACGTGGACGAATCGCAGAGGCGATGAAAAGGGGCAAATGGTGGAAATGGGCATCACTAGGTGTTATCACTTTTGGTGTGACAAAATGACAATATTATGTATTTTAAACATTTAAAAAATGTGTGTGAGTGTGTATCTGACTGTATGTGTCTGTTTCAAAAAAGTTGCTGAACATAAAATGGCAAGACAGGATCCCTGACACTGAAGTCCTTGACAGAACTGGACTCTCGAATATTTACTCGATTCTTCAACAATTACAACTTCGCTGGGCAGGTCATTTAGTCCCTATGCCTGACCACCGACTGCCAAACAGAATTTTCTATGGCGAGCTACTAAAAGGAACACAAACTCAAGGTGAACAGAGGAAACGTTCATTGACAGCCTCAAGCCCTCACTGAAAGTGCCAGGTAATACATGAAAACTAACCAAAACAACAAAGAAAAAAAATTAAGAAAATAAACGAATCAAAAACACAACCTATAAATACGCACGCACACACACACACACACACATATACATATAGTCTACGTGCATATATATGTGTGTGCATATATATATATATATATATATATATATATATTTGTAGACTCACAAACCAGCCGGCGTGGAAAGGGCTTGAATGTGATAAGTGTTGTATTGAAAAATTCCACCGCTTGTTTTCGCACAACTTTGGCGCGTGAAAGCTCTGGGTGTTTATACCAAAAACAGTTTCGTTACACTGCACCTTCGACTGCATTCTGTAGTAGGACTGTCTGGAATTGGAATCGCCGTTGAAAATCATCTGAGGAGAAAAACAGTTATTGGTTAGTTTGAGTTATTTTATATTATCTGTATTATATTCATGGCACTTTAAACACTTGCACAAGTGCTCAGACTTCCCACTTTTTCTCCCACCTCTGCACTCTACAAATTCATCAGTGGGACAAACTACCTACCCAACTTTATTCGCAGTTTATGTATTCTTAGCAGCGATATGGATGCGCCAATCGCAAAATTATAATGTCGCATTTCTAAATTATGTCTATGTGTTACCGGGGCCTTGATGAAAAGCAGAGAAAAGTAACACTGCACCCTACCGGGCATGTCGTTAAGAAGAGACTAGAGTTAGGGTAGGGGTTGGAGTTGGCTACCTGATCCTGCAAAAACAATTGCCGCAAAAACAAACAAACCATGGAAAAGAAAAGAAACATGAAAGTGTACAAATACCAAAACTACTTCTACTTCTCGATAATATAACGTTATGCACCAAAAAAAAAAAATTAATAAAAATCGTCTTTATTTGGGATGCAATTTCTTTATTATTTGCTTCTGCCCTGGCCCTGAATATAGCCGGATCATAAATATGGGCTAGGTCATAGATATGGCCTAACGGTTGAAAATGGTTTCTGGGACCTCTCCACGGGTGATCCTCATCCTCATAGTGGCACTTTCTGTCACTGGGTGTTTATCCTTTGTGTGATGTCCTGGTGGGTTACAACTACCTACCTACCTTATGCACCAAGAAATAATAAGGATGAATAGAATAAATAAAGAAGGTATTTAAAAAACAACTTGAAAAATATTATAAATAGTGAAAAACAAAAAGCGTAATATAAACATTCGGATGGGTGACCTAAATGCTGAGATAGTATCAGATAACACAGGTTGTGAAGAGATTATGGGCAAACATGGAGTAGGAGAAATGAACTAAAATGGAGGATCATTTACTAGTTTTTGTGCTGTAAAAAAAAAAAAGTATGTTATTGGTGGAAGCATTTTCGACCTAAAAGAATATACGAGGCAGCATGGGAATTACCAAACCATAAGACAACAAATCGAATTAATCACATATGTATAAATACAAAATTTGAATGATCCCTGTGTGATGTTAAAGCTTTTAGAGATGTAGACGTAGTTACTGGCCAGTTTCTGTTAGTAAGTAAAATCAAGTTAAAACTTACAAAATACAATCACTGTAACCGGTGTGATGAAGTATATATCAGGAATAAATAAGTAAGGGAACAATCTTAAGTTACATTCTCTAACAAGTACGAGGTGTTGAAGCAGTTAGCTGAAGAAGTAAGCACCGAAGTCTGTTAGGATCAGATCAATGGAATCTGGAATGAATCTTGTGTGGAAGTCCTTGGTAAGAATGAACGGAAACATAAGATGTGGATAACGTCAGAAACCAACAAAATGATCGAAGAAATAAAAATCACACAAGGCAGACTTAAACATAAGCAAAGCTAGAGCTTGGGAAAAATACACACAAGGTAATAATGAACTCAGAATGCAAAAAAGAGCAGAAAAAAAAGTGAATAATTTGATGCCCTGGCAGAAGAAGTGGATAGAGCAGCAAAAAAAGGGAACCTGAGAGACCTGTGCAGTAGACAAGGAAATTATTAGGTAAATTTAGTCAGTCAAACTGGATCAATCAACAATAGTCAAGGAAAGGAACTTAATAACAATAAAGATCAAATGGACAAATGGGCTAAATATTTCGAAACACTTCTGAACAGGCCAGCCCCTGAGGTTACTCAGATATCCAGCCTTTAGAAATTTACCTGGATATAAACTGTGATATCATCTACAGAGGAAATTAGGAAATCTGTCAATCTTTTGAAGGAAGGAAAGGTAGCAGGTTCAGATGATATCCCAGCAGAAGTTTTTTGGTCAATATAAAAAAAAAGATATTGCTACATAGGCTATTTAGTAAAGTCTGGTACACAAATGAAGCACCAGCTGAATTGGAAAGAAGGCTGTCTTGTGAAACTGACCCCCCCCCCCCCCCCCCCTCCACACCATCCCACCCCACCCCCTGAAGTTTATCTACAGCAGTGTGAAAACTATAGAAAAATTATGTTTCTTTCAGTTTCTGAAGAAAAAAAATAAATAGGAATACTTTGGAAAGACTAAAAGATGCTTTCGATAAAAAGCTTAAAAATGAACAGACAGGTTTTCGGCCGAACAAATCCTGTACTGACAAGATAGCCACATTACTGATAATAATATAGTAAAGCATTGAAGTAGAGTCAACATTTTACATTGGATTCATAGAAGAAAAGAAAGAAATCCATCATAGAATCATATCTCTAAGCAAAGTTATTCTGGCAACACAAAATTCCCATCAAAAATTAAAGAACAGTAACGGATGTCAGGGTTCCGGTAGACAGAAAAAAAAAATAAACACTAAAGTGAATATATTACTTTCCATGAAAAGTTTCCTAAAGCATAATAATGACTTAAAAGACGAATACTTTGTCATTAAGTCCGCACTGATTGTCGAAGAACAACAATGAATGGTATGTCATGTTAGGCATGTGACAATAAATATACCCTTTCTCTATGCCTTCTTGCGTATGGGGAAACTTTGGTTAGATTTATAATTTATAGACCAATAGGCACTTTGTGGGGGCATCGCATCGCGGTCAGCATCACACCAGCCGCCTTTACATCCCATAACTACCTGGTACCCACATAAAGCTAGGTCGACCTGGCAGCCAATGTCCTTTGCTGGTAAACAACAAACTTCGTCAGCGCCTGAACTACGACCTTTTGACACAATATGCATCACATTATTGTCACAATTTAGGTTTCAATCATAACAGGGTGGTCTTGAACAGAATAATCATGCCAGGAAACAAGAAATATTCTAGCAATGACAAATCCGCATCCTTTATTACAGAACATTCGTAGAAGCGGACGGCCTGGTTCCCATTCCGCACATGGCAATAAACACTACTTTAGGTAAACTCGATGCTTTCATGACTCAGCTGGCATCGAAGGAGTTACTTCGTGTTTTCGAATGGGTCTAATTTCCAAACAAAGAAATCCACAAGAACATATTTCAGATGAGTAGAAGATGTCGAGACCGGCCTCTTACCATATCAAGATGTGTGCAAGCTGGACATGAATGATACAGGTGTTGAGGCAAATTCGTGGGAACAATTTTCTATGGACCGCGTTACGTGGAAAAAAAAAGAAAAAAAAAAGGGGGGGGGGGGCAAATCAGGAAGGAATATGAATAATATAAAACAAATGATCTCAGAAAGGATGAGATCTAAGCGTCTGAGAATAAGAACACTACATACAAATGATGGCTACAACGATCCTGAAATCCCAGGCTCTGACTGTGGAATAACGTGGGCGGGTCTTGCTGGCCACACTCGCCATCACCACGAGCTGTGACTCTCAATGCCTCAGCTAAGCACACACATATATAATAGGAAACGCCACAGCGGGAGTTTACCGATCATCAGTAGGTGGATCTAGATACTGTTTCAACAACTGTTCCGGTCCTATCATCCATATTACACTATCGTCTGCAAAGATGGAAATGAGCTAAAAAAAAAAAATGTGGGAGGAAAAAGTAACGTTATGCGGTCACTTAGTGATAGATGCGGTTGTGGTAGAAAACGATAGTATAAGCCTCAGTTTAAATAAAAGAAAGACAGAAGTAATGATGTTTTTTCAGTAAGGAGAATTCCACAAACGAGCATAAACAGCAGGGGTCCACCGATCATTAGAAGGAAGATCCCACGTCGACAATTGTTTCATCCCATTACTTCTTATACAATCTCGAAAGGTGGAGCGACCTGGGTCACGACTCGAGGCCTCGATCTTTCCCTGTTGCACTTATTGGACTCTCAGTCAGGGACAAGACTTTGCAACAGACACTGTGAGATTGGTCTTATATTGTTGCTGCCGTAGCAAATTAACCGCCTACCTTTACAAGTAACAAGCTTTCGGTTGGTTCATCGGACAGACTTTAGACTTTGGCATTTTGCAGAGAGACACTGGCAAACATTTCTCTGGCACTTTGGCTTTAATGAATAAGAAGCTCCTTTCCACTATGGACTCTGATTAGTCTACAGAGATCTATCCCCCACCACGTTCCGTTGCATTAAGAGCTAGCTCAAAGCCCTTTCTGCTGCTTCGCCTGGTTGTTTTAGTGATCGTTTACACTCGTTTCCTCTCTAGCCCAGCTGCTTTAGAACATTGTATGTGGAAGTGGAGATAAGAGCTCTTCAGACCGGCCACGAGCTAGCCCACTGTACCTTTCGAACTTGAACAGGTCGCGATTCCTACGGCACTGTCAGTTCTATCAGGACGAGCTGGCGTTTTTCTGTAAAGAGCAGACCTGTGTCTGGTCTTAGTCCGGTCTTGTGGATAAACTGTAGGTACTTTTCAAAACCATCAGGTCGACAGCCAGTAATCAGCCCTTGCACAGTCAAGTTGTGATAGCGCGTATGCGACCTTGTTGACTTTACCTTTAGAAATCTGACCAGCCTTTGGGAAGCGCGTGGAGGCGACGGTAGGACTGGCCCTCGCGTTAGCGGTCATTCTGGCTTGATTCACATTGTCCGCTAAGTCTTTCAGGACTTAAATGTGGCGCCAAGAAAATCGTCCCTGGCCTAGGGCTTTTCTGCATTCGGAAAATACTTGCTCGGGCGTTTGCTTTGCTTTGCAGAGAGGACGTGTCTGGCTATATTGGCACTAGAGAGTAATACACCATAAGCAGATCTTAAGACAAAGCTCAGCCGCAGAGGAACCATTCGCCAGATCTCACCCCAAGTGAGTACTTGTGGCAAGGGGCTCACGAGGCCGATCCACTGGCCTTGCTGCGACTGTTGCGGGGCTCTTTGTACGTACCCAAGTCTCGTTTTTGGTGTTCATTATCTGCTATATCACCCTGTCTTTGCGTTCTTCGGCCGAGGCTTTGAGGCTTTTTTTTAAATTTAACAAGCTGAACAATATCTTGAGGCTTCGGGGATGTGGTTTTACAGAAGAATCTTTAAAATT